GGAATAGTAAGAATTTTTTCCCCTTTAGGCAATTGACATTTGTTCAACCAACTTGCTCACTAACGTGTGGGGTAGCTGAACACCAGTCTTTCCTCAGGCCAGAACTCACTTGTCTGGTGATGGGGCTTGAATCCTTGCAGGACAGTACTCTACTGCATAGGTTCACAACATTTTTATAGCTTAATAGTGCTCTCGGGCTCCAGTTCCTTGCTCTGCCCTCACCCTGAACTGCTGCCTGTTCCATCACTTCTGCCCAAACCATGCTGAGCTGCTGTCTAGTCACCTAGAAGTTCCTGAATTCAGAGGTGTGGTTCAGGGGCAACTGTTTCTCCAAAGTATTTATTCACTTGCATTATGTACTGGGCCTTGCTATGGATCTGATTCATTCACAGGGAATCACTGGATCATGACAACTGCAAGGTGCCATTCTTGTCATGTAGCATTCTTCATTATGGCTTCTGTCTGCAAGAACCGTATTGGCTCTTTGTCTTGCAGGCCTGTTTGCAGTACAAAATCATCTGTGATACTGCAATTGCAACACTGCTTTTCAATTTTGTTTTTGCAATTAAAGCTTAGATGTTCATCCGTGCTTAGTGGAGGGCTGTATGTTTCACATGGTTTGTAGAGAATTGTAATCACATCTGAACTGGAATATGAATACACCTGTGTTTCTGATCATGTTTTTTTAATTAGGCTCTTATATGATGCATTAAACTTAATCTGAACCTCTGATTTCTTACAAAGGCTTCACCTTCTGTCAGCGCGTGACAACTAAAGAATATGAAGATCAAAAACAACAAACAAAGCAGTATCTTCTCGCATTGGTTCAAGAGATAGACAATGACCCCACTATTCCTTTGAAGCAGAAGAAGAAATTAATTAAAGAATTCCGAAAATACCATTCTCTCATCTACTGTAGTGGTTGTAAAACTACATGTGAATTTTGTACCCTAAATGGTTAGACATCAATACAGACTTTTTTTTTTTTTTTTTTTAAAAAGGGCAGGATGCATATGAAAATTGCTCATGATACAAACCATTTTCTTCTTAGGTCCTTACATCTTCAGTTACAGGAAGCTACAACTATCAAAATTACTATGCTGCTAAAAAGCATTAATTCTAATTAATGACTCTTAAGCAAAATGTACTTAATTACTTTTAAGTTAGTAATAACGGCACACTGCCTGTGCTGCTTTGAGTTCAGGGTTTGGCGCTTTTTTCCTTCTGTCCCATGACCCCATGGCTTTCTACCTGAGCCAAGTCTACATTCAGAGCCATGCTTGGGTTGATAACCAGTAAGGTTTTTAATCTTTTCTAGCTGTAGTTGATAATCTAACTGTAATCTAATCTTAAACTGTAGACTATGACTCTATGACTCCTATGAGTATTGTAAAAGAGTACAAAGTGTGTCAAAAATGTTAGGAGCAGGTCAGTGGGTTTTGAATCTGTGGCAGGCAAGATTCATTAGACAGGGGAGCTGTGTGTGCTTGCAGTCAGTAATTGTAGCCTGTTACTCCTTCCCCGCTCTGGCAGACTGAGCTGCCGCTAATCTGGCAGTTAAGCAAAAGCAAGTAAAAAACTACATTTTGAAAAAACTGGAGGAATAATCTTGTTTTAGATCTCTTGGTGTACTTAAGCAATTTATTTCAACATGAGGATACTTTGATAGTGTCCAGTTATTTGTCATAAATACTTTGATAGCGTTTATGGATTCATAGGGCAAAGCTAGAAAGCACGTTGGCCTGTCTTGACACATTGATGGTTAACTGTACACTGACAAGGGAATGTTGATTCAAGTCATTAAATAAACATGCAATTTAATGTTGTAGAGGTTAAATTACTTCTTCCATCCTCATGACAGACATTTGATCATGACATAGAAACATAGAATTGAGACTGAAAGGTACCTCTGGTCTAGTCCCACCGCCCAGCTCAAAGTGGAGTCAATTAGTGCAGGCTGCTCAGGGCCTTTTCCAGTTGAGTTTAGAATATCTCCAAGGATGGAGGTGCCACAACCTCTCAGGTGAGTCTTGTCCAGAGTTTGACCAGCCTCACAGTATTTAAAAAAACAAAACAAAAACAAAACAAAAACACACCTTACATTTAGGTAGAATTTCTTGCATTTCAGTTTGTGCCCATTGCCTCCTGTCCTTTCACTGGGCACCACTGAGGAGTGTCAGGCTCAGTCTTCTTTACTGGCTCCCCTGAGCCTTCTCAAGGCTAAACAATCGCAGCTCTCTCGACAGATGCTCCAAGCCCTTATCATTTTCATGGCCTCTTTGCTGGACTACTCCACTATGACCATGATTTTTTTTTTTTTTAATTGTGAATATGCTGCTCTAGGTATGTACATCCTCAACTGCTCTTCAAAGATGTGGTCAAGTTACCAGGATACCAAAGCTTTCTGAAAACAAGTGCTGTTTTCTTTTATTTTATAAATCGAAATGGTTACACTGTTAGATATAACCAACTGTGTGTACAGCTAATAGGTTGTGTTAACTTGCATATTTCAAGTGGCCTTTTTTAAATGATGTGGCCCTATTAGAAGTCAGGGAATATAGTTGAAATCTCTGTCCGTGCATCCCTGTTTATGCACTTGTTATTTAACAGTGACTGTCCAGCATAAAATAAATAATTTCTGGAGGAGGAAAAAAGACCAAGTTTCACCCTAATTACTAGACTACAGGGCCACGTATTCTTTTTTTAGCCCTGGGGAGCAGGGGGTTTGGTCATTCTCCCAGAAAAAGGAGCATATACAGAAGTAGGTTATTGAGAATTGTAAACAGGAAACTATTTCCTGATTAAGTGCTTCTGGTGTTGAGTAGTGGGAGAAGGGGATTTTAGGTTTGTTTTGGGTTTTCTTTTTCCCCCCTCTCTCTCTTCAGTCCCTTCACTGGGTCTCACTCAAAATATACTGAACCTGGGAGGGGTGATAACATGGTAATTTGTAGGCTAGAGGGACGAGGGACTGCCCCCCCCCTCTCCAGTCCCTTCACTGGGTCTCACTCAAAATACTGAACCTGGTAACGGGGAGGGGTGATAACATGGTAATTTGTAGGCTAGAGGGACTGGGAATTGCTTTGGGAAAAACTGTATTTTTAAAAAAGAAATTCTTGCACTTTGTGACTTGATTAGAATTTTCTTGTGCTAATTTAAAGATGATAATAAAGCATTGCATAAAAAGCGATGAATCTGTCTATCATTTCATAGTGTTTTCATAAGGAAGAGGCAGCTCAGTGGGCGTAGAACCAGGTATCAAACAGTAAGGAAATGCTTTAAGTGGACAGCAGTTTATAGCTGCCAGGTGCTTTCCTTCAGTTCATGGGACAGGAAGTCCCATGATTGATCTAGTCCTGCAAAGGAAAGGGAGAGCTCTTGAGAGCCCTATTTTATTCACCTACCCTGACAGGAAGATCTACTAATTTCTAATCTTCTGTTGAAAGAAACGTGGTATTTTACATTTAAGTATAAGGGCCCGCTGAACAGAACAAGTTTGGTGAACTACGGATTACTGTTTTTCATTGTTACGCTTTCAGTTACATTCCAAAATTAGGAAAACTTTATTGGACTTTAGAAAGTTCTATCACTTATTTTTAACAATGTTTGACGCAGAATCATCTGGTAGGGTACCTCGGACCTCTCACTCATTTCTATTCCATTCTCTGGAGTGTTGGCTTCTCTTCTATATTGCCCTTACGCTGAGACCTCTGGATAGCAACAGGAGCAGCTCATGAGACTCTCAAATGTTGATCAGAGCAACATGGCTCTAACTCCGTGTGCTTATCTGAAGTAGAAAAGAAATGGAAGCCAGAGATGAGGATATCGCTGTACCTTAATGCTATCAGTGAGCCCAGGGACTGGTGGTACACACCTGTTTCCCCTGTTCTCAGCTCTGACCGTTCAACTACGTCAGTTACCCTTGGGTCACAGATCATCACAAAGAACAATTTTACAGAAGGTATAGTAGCTAGTTATGCTTCAGAGTGCCCCTCTCTGGGCCTTGTCAAGGATCACTGGAGGGGCATGAAACCCAGTGAAGCCTCTGCTTGATCCCTGCCATCAGCTGCCTAAGTCAGTCAGTGCTCTTTGTTCCAAGCTAGGCAAGTGTACTGCGTAAGCACACTTACTGGTTTTACATAGCGGCAGGCAAGAGAGGGAATATGAGACTTCAGCTGAGAATAGGATACTCCTCTGCAAATCTGACACCACCGGGTATCACCAGCCCTACTGAAGGGCAATTCCCCTGCGGCCACGAGCTGCATCAGGTCAAGATCGGCATCAGCACCTGTGTGTCCATCATCCTCCCTGTGCGAGCGCCTGCCTCTGTCCTGGCAGCCAAGCAAGCCAGGTGGGGCACCCCCTACTAGCGCAGCCCTCCAAGGCTTCTATCTGGTCATCAGCCCGTACCGTTGCTCTTTCCCCTCCTGCATGCAATGCTGCACAGACGGATGGCGCAGTAACAGAGCTGCTGATGCCACCTTTGCTCTGTAAACAGAAATTACAAGTACAGGCTGGGGCATTTGTGTGTATCTAGAATGCATGGATAGGACACAGATGGGATTACCCAGGACACAGCTGCAAGCTTCGCTCACCTCAGACACCTTCTGATGTCACCTTTTCAAGAAAGGTGAGGGCAGTGGCAGGAAGCTTATTTGCTCAGCCATTGTTTAAAACAAAAACCAAACAAAAAACCCCACAACCTACTAACCCAAAACCCCTTTTCAAAAAGGGATTGTTCAAATTACTCTTTTCTCAAAGCCTAAGTATACTTTCAATAGCAGTCGTCACATTTCAAGTATATTCCTCTCATGGCTATTCACTAAAATAACCAAAAATAAAACTCACGTATTCCTTTTCAGGATAGGCAATCTCAAAAAGACCTTTTGAGATGTATTTAATGTCCATTCAATTGCATGCACGAGTTAAAATAATATTCATTTTGGGGTAAAAAAAAAAAAAAAATCTTGATTTCTTCTCACTATGTGTTAGTGTCACACCAGTACAAGCATTCACTATTTTTATTGCCTCGTGCATTGAGGTTTTCTGCAGTAAGAGTACAATGAAGCTATCAGTAAAAGATGAGAACATAGTGAAATTACAATGAACGTATTATTTCACAGTATTAGGTTTGCAAAACTTTATTTTTAAACTCTGAAAATGATTTTTTCCCAACCCACTTAAATACAGGAAAGCTAAAACACAATCCTAACTGACAGAAAACAGGTTGTAGTCAAAGAGTTCCATTCTGAGTAAAGAATAACAATGTATCCAACTATGCTACCTATATATCAAATTTCTCTTCACAGATATTGTGTCCATGTTCTTCATAATCTTCTCTAGTTACTACCATGTCTTCAAAATCGTCATTTTCAGAAATGAGCTTCCCACCTTCCCAAGAGTAAGTAATAGGGCTGAAAAATGAAGTTATTGTTACACATCTGTATGTTCATTTAAAATAGAAGTATGCAGTGATGATTTCCAAGACTTTTGTTTAGCCATACCTATTTAAAAATATATTTTTGATTGCTAAATCAAACCATCCAGCTCCAGACAAGTTATGAGACAAAGTTTGAAATTATAGCAGGGCTAACTGACTTTGCTTTTTATAAAAAGCAAGTGCCTCTTTGGAGGCAGGTGTGAAGAGGGCAGGAAGTGGAGATGTCTTTGTATTTACTTTGCACAGATAATGATTCTTTAATGATATTTAAAAATACTCTTGTATAATACTTTTTAAAAGTGAAGATTTTTTTGTACTTTCAAGATATACTTGTTTTGTCTCAGCTGTATACTCTCTCTCTGCAATGATGTTACCCCCTCCAAATCCCTGAAGTGGCTACATTAATAATGACATGGCAACATTCAGATGCTGAAAATTCTTCTAAGGAAAAGACTAAACTCTAATCTTGCATACTTATGTATCCACTAAATGACGATACAGTCTTATTTATGTTTACAATAAAAAGACTGATCCTGAAAACACTTACTTATACGCTTAACTTTATCAGCCAAAGTACAGGGCAAGCAAGTGGTCTCTGATTATTTGGTTTGTCTGAAAATACACTGATTTAAAACATTCTTCGTGTACAATTTTGGTTCACTCAATATTTAAATTAACCCCTTTACTCAATCTATCTTTTTAATCAGCAAAAGAAATCCTACTTTATCGTTTGTTCTGCTAGAAGGACAAAGCTTGTTCTGTACAGTTTAGAACTTACTTTTCAGGAAGAACAACGGAAACATCATAATCAGTTGGAGTAAGACATCGAACTTCAGAATAAACCCGATCTCTGAAGCCCGGAAAAAGGGTGTTTCCCCCAGTCAGAACTATGTTCTTGAAGAAATGAGGCTGCATTTCTGTAAAATAAATAAGTAAATCTGTAGTTAGAGACTGAATATATATTTAAAGATTAAAGTCTTTTTTCCCCAATTTTGTTATGAATTGGAACATAAGTAAGAAATACGCATAGAGGAATTTTGTGATCATCTAATGATCACATCAGTTAAATAGCTGTATTGAGAAATACAAGAAAGTGATCAATCACCCTCTGTTCTTCGTGATTTTTAGAATATGGCTTTGATAACTACTGTTTTCTTATACTCTATTAAATTCCCCTTTCAAAAGGGATTTTAAATGATAAAATTTTTTTAAGAGTACAAAATACTACCCTCAATGCCGCCATACTTATGTAGTATCATAAAAGCTATGAAAGTCATCTTTGTAGTAATAACATTAATGTACATCATCTATAAAATGAAAGCTTTAGTATTACTAATGACAAACACAGCAGTCAGAAAGGTTTTATACTTTGATGCTTAAATTACTGAGTTTGGTCAGTTTCATTTTTCTTATCCGTTTGATTTTTCTCTTCTTCCAGTGACGAAAAATATTTTAAAACACAACTAAAACTAATTTCAAGTATATTCCATCTTCGGCATCAAAGACAGATAGGTCACGTTAGAAAAGGACGTTAAGAAGAATTAAGTCTACAGTGATTAACTGAAACAAGAGTAGAAACCAATCAATGTATCACCACAAAACTGTGTTTGCCTAACAGAGAATCTTGTAGACAATCACTTCTAGCGTATATGACACACACCAGAAGACAGAACAGTTCACAACAACTTAGTAACTGGCATATTGAGAGTACTAGCTTCTTAAGACACTTTGGATGCTTAAAAAAAAAAAAATCCAAAACCAAAACCAACAAAAAACCCCAAAACAACACAACACAAACACCCCCACACACACACTTTTCAAAATACTTTTAGGTTATACCTTCAGGTAAATTCTGAATAGAATAAACAATGGCTTCAGGAATTCCCATCTCTTGAATACCAATATCTGAAGGATGGAAGAGTATTTCTGGAACTGCAAATCTTTCATTTGTTAGACGAAGTATTTGTTCACCAGTCTTGTATTTTCCACTTAACACCATCTCTTCCCTTGGCTAAAGACAAGACATGAATAGTAGCCACTGCTTAAGAAAAGAAATTACATCCTAGAGCATTCAGCTAATCTTTTTCATGTACTGCAGAGGTAGGCAGTATATTCTACGTTAAGTCATATTATCAACAAATCTTTTAAGAATAATACATACTCTGGTATTAAATCTGAAGTGACTTTGCTCTTATCAACTGCAGTTTTGCCTAAAGCAAAATAAAATAGGTATGCATGAGAGTGGCTTTAAAATATCGGGACTGCTTTTGAAGCTGTGGCTAACTCAGTAAATGAGATCAAATTGGCAAACTGTCTTCACTGGTATGAAGACTTTTCAGGCTCTTCTATAACATAACTTTGAACCTTCTGCCTATTAGGGTATTTAAATGAAATTCAGAGAGACTTACAAAAAAAGTATCAAAGCAGAGGAAACATCTTCCAACTTAACTTTAAAAAAACCCCAACAATAATGATATGGATGATATGACAGAGCACAAGCATAGAAAGCTACAAGTATTAAATAACAGAACAGAAAATGCTATGCTGGAAAAACAGTATTTAATTTTAATCTCAACTTCCTAAGGAAAACTTTACCAATTAATGTGTAGCACAGAAAGAAGATACAATACAGCATTGGAAAAAAGAAAGTCTTTTTAACCTCTCTACTAGACTTGTGCAGGGGAACAGTCCAAAAAATACTTCAAAAACCGTACTATCGTTACCTTACAAAATCCTTTTTTGATTGTGCTGAAGTCTGGCAAAACATAATCTACCATTACAGTATTTTCCTCTCCTTTCAATCTGAAAGAGAAGAATGTAAAATACAACAAAATAAAGAACAAGTTCTCAATCCCAACTATTTTATACTGACAAGACTTCCTTTGACTTAACTGGAAATTTTTCTTATTAAGAGTATAGTTTTATTTGTTTGTTATTCAGGAGTACCAACTTTTACATTTAGTACCGTTGTATACATACTTGGCAATGTCCATGTCCTTGTAAAAGTCTTGAGAAACATAACACACATCTTCTTTCACTTGATTAATTACATGCGTTTCATCCATAACATGTAGCTGCCTGTGAAAAACAAAAAACAAAACCACAGAAGTTTGAGAATAATTAAGTCCTAGCATTACCTGTCCAGTTTTCCACTGGAGATGAGCAACCATGTTTTTCAAATCACAGAAAGCTACTGTTTCAGTATCTAAAACTTGTATTCAATTTACAAAAGCATTCCTGGCCTACTGGAGTTTAGCATTTTCCCATTTCACAGTTCAATAAATACAAACATCTACCTGCATTTGCCTGACGTCTTCATAACAAGCATAGCCATAATCCTGCAATTAGCTCTACTAGCAAAGACCTTTACGTAGATAAAGTTCCAAGCTAAAGGATCCTAATGAAAAGTTGATCCTATTGAATTTTATTTGTGGTATTGATAGAATCAGTTAGCAAACTGACTGATGATCTGCTGAGACATCTCAGAAAATATGTAAGGACCTGTGTAGTTGTGAACACGCAGGTAACTTCAGCAACTTCAAAAGCACCGGCACTTTAAAAAGTAACAGCCTAATTCTTCAAAGAGCTTAAACTCATCTTAATTAATCTTGATCTTAAGCTCAAGATGGCAGCTAACAGATTATAACAGACAGAAATTGCCATCTCCTTTAAACAGCATTTAATCTAAAATTCACAGAAGCAGTAAGAATATCCCCACAAACTTCTAGCTCATTTCATACCAGTTCTCAAGATAATGATCAGCGTGCTTTACCTGTAAGAGATTATCTCCTTCAGATGGTTGGTTAAGAGTTTTCCTCAAACATTAATCCTACAGAAAAGGAGTAACACAAGGAATTCTGTCATTATTAACTTCAGACATAGCAAACAGTTCTTCTAGAAAATACATGCTGCAGTTTACCTGATGATTGCCTCTTTCTTCTTTTTACTTCTACAATAAGGTACAATGTGTGTAAAAGAGTATCCACTATCCACAATGATACAACATAGCTCAGATGGATTATCCCGGAAATACCTGTGCGCACTAAGAGCTCCAGCTGAAATACAAAAAATTTCATTCAATTTTTATATGAATACACACTTTTAGAACTTATATTGATATGAAAGTGTACTTGCTTCATATTTTAAATGCCTTTGACAGACTTCCAAGACCTCAATACATAATACTACAGCCAACACATGAATTAATTTTGACCGTGGATAAAATTAAGTATCATATATGCCCCCATTTATTCTTTTTCAATAATTCCAGTCCATGTTCAGTTTCCTCTCCTAAAGTCCAAGCAGACTGATCACACCACAATTTATCAAACCTATCTAAAAGAGTATCCTATGTCCAGCTATCTTTCAGAAGGGTTGTAATGTTATTTACACATTCCCTGTAAGATACAATACATTTCATGATTGTAATGCTGCATTTTATTTGCTAATACAAAACAAAACCAAACAAAAAACCACCACCCCCACCTCCCACCCCCACTCCCCCCCAAAAAAAAGAAAAGCTATCAAAGACTTCATGCAAATTTTTGGTAGACTTTCACAGATGCTATTCTGTTTCAAAATCCAACCATTATCGCTGTCATCCTGACTCTCCCGAAATTTCCTTTAATTATATACCATGACACTCTTAAGAAAGTAGTATAACAGTATAGCTGGAATTTAAAAAAAAAAAAAAAAGTTTAATCCAGTTAGAGTACATATAGGAGCATATTACTCAAGAGCCAGGAAGGAAATGAAGCAATTTCTTTACTATCTTTATATATACATGTGTGTGCGTTTGCATGCATGCATGCTTATTTATTTATTTACAAGGTTCACCTTCAAAATATATAAATCAAACTAGGAGGAGACAGACTTACCATTTACTCTAAGAACTGCTTGAAATTGATACTCTTCAAATAGAATTTCATTCATGGATTCTTGTATTGAACTGAAGTTAAAATAAGGTTCGGTAATAATAATATTGGTATCTACAAAATCCACCTATGAAAAAAACCATTAAGACTGTCATTACACAAAACTTAGAAATTAATACTCCATTACCATATTTTGCAGCAGTTGAAGATGATGTAGATCTGATTACCACTTGCCGTATCTGTTTGTAGAAGCTAGGCTTAGAAAGTTTTAGCTTTTTTAAAGACTTCATGAGCAGTGATAGAACTTTATCAAATTAATGAGTAAAAACATAACAGAAGGGAACACCGTCATACATATTCTGCTCCTGTTACTATCCTTACAAATCGTAATCCAACATTTTAAAGAGATGATACCCAAAATGGAACACTACAATACTAATGTAAGATACTTTTCACTAATCCTGTCAACTACAGAAAGATTAAGTCTCTTCAACAGCTCAGCACTTGCATCACAAAATTACGTATCTAATAACCAAAGATGAAGTCCTGCGCAAAGTAGGATCAATAATAAAACTCCCAGTGACCTCTAATGAGACCAGCAAAAGATCCCGGACTTTCCGCATTTACTGATATCTCAAAAAACTCCTTTAGAGAGGACTTCAGAGGGTTACTTTGATCGTAACTGGATATGGCCTTAAACTTATTACCAGCTGTATCTCTCTGTAGTCTTCACTCATGAAAAAGAATTAAAACCAAATTCTCCTCAAAACCATGACTAAATTGAAACTAGTTCCAAAACTAAAATGAAAGCTAAGTATCAAAAGCCAGCACTGTATATTTTTATGTATGGAGACTAAGATATTTTGAGGCATTACTTTCATTCTCAGTACCATTCTGCCTCCTAGGTGTTACAAAACCCCAAAACTTTCAGTGTATAAAGCATTTTTTTTAAAGAAAAAGTGAAAGGGAAGCCTTACTACACTTCTTGTGCTAAATCCAGTTCATGTGATAAATAAGAAAAATTAAGTATCGGGTGTGTATATTTTATACATTCAACTTACTCATAGGTAGAAAATGGTTAGCCAAAGATGGTTACTTAACGTGTATGTCTTTTGGCCTACTGACCTAGCTCATCACTCTCTTTTACATCAACAGTTTCTTGATCTCTAAACCACGTTGTATCTGTCTATAATTATTATTATTTTTTACTAACTTGAACTCTTAATTATATTGATGTAAATTTCTTAACATATGTGAACTTAAATCAGTATGAATACACAGAAGACTAAAAAATTTAAATGTTTTTTTAAATTCCTACACCAGAACTCTAAGTAAAAATTTTCTTCAGTTTGCAAAAAAATAAATCCCTGTGATTTCTAATTGATGGCACTTTAAAAGAGAACAGTAAGCTCACCAGTTCTTTTTAATATTTGATGTACTTACACTAATTCCATTAGTATTTAACCTACACAAAATCTGTAATTAAAAAAAGGGTCTTACTTGATACATTTCTTTTCCAAAAAGATAATCCCAAACCTGTCTCTGGACATCCCAGTTCACCAAGTAACCCTGTAGGAATTTAGAAAAACAATTACACTATTTAGAAAATAAAATCATACTTAAAAAAAAAATTACTAGAAAACAAAAAAGTCAAGTGATTGATAGACTGGTAATATAAAGAAAATTGAGAGTAAAAATGTCTAAATTCACATTTCGATGCTAAGAAGAAAATGTTACATAGGATAAAATGTTACAAATATTTCCCATCAATATGTTAATTACTACACTACAAAAACAATGTAAATTGTGTTTAAATTGTGTGCTGGAGCGCGTCCAAAGAAGAGCAAGGAAGCTGGTGAAGGGTCTAGAGAACAGGTCCTATGAGGAGCGGCTGAGGGAACTGGGGCTTGTTTAGTCTGGAGAAAAGGAGG